AAACAACTGACGTCTTCATTTTTCTCTTGTAATTCTATTGCTCCCTCAATATCAGATAAAGGTCTGTTACGATTTACTAAACTATAAACAGTACTGAAAACCTTTACAATAGCATCAATACTTCTATTACTTTGTTTATGTACTAAATTAGAAATTGAGTCATTAACTGATTCCTTTAACAAATCCTGAATTTAACCATGGACTTTAGAAACATTGTGCTCCCTCATTTTTTTCCGAGAAGCTTGTCTGGTAGTCTAACTACTGCCATTTGGGGTTACTAAATATGCAGCCCACTCCTTGGACACGTGAACATGCTTTTCTGCCCTTGATCCCAAATGCCGAACTGTGGAACAATCCCTACATCCTAATTTACCTTCTTTTATTCCGAGCCATTTGTACTGCTCTGCGAACATAGATGCTTGTTTTTCATTCCAACAATCTGGAAGCACAAGAGTATCTATTTCTTCTTTTGATGAACACGAAGGTTTTTGTTCAATGATTGGTTGTTCAACATGTTTGTAATTTGATTCCACCGACGCAGACAATCGACAATGGTTTTTGTTCTTATTGTTACTTTCTGTGTCTGTTTTCATCTTCTTCACATTTGATAAATGCAAAAAATCACTCTATTGTTTTGGCATTTTCGGGAACAAAATCTGAAAAAAAAATTGCGCACATGTAAGTAAAATTTATGATACTACTTCTAGAATTAATGTAAAATGTTTGTTAGAGTTCTTTATATGATTGTAGAAATAAATTTTAAGCTAGAACACTTACCTTGATTTTCAGTTTATACCTATGACTTCAATTCGACCTGCTATTTCTTACAAGACCCACTGTCAGTTTTTAACATCAATAGCCAATAATAACGTCACAAAATCTGGCTGAATTTTTGATTATCACCTGATTAAACAAAGAAGTTGCTCTTATGATTCACAAGTAAATACAGTTCTAATGTTAAGAGTGGTTGATCTTTTCATTTACATTAATGAATAAGAGGAAAGCAAAAAAAGATGTACATCAGAACTCCACTCATTCATCCATGACATTAACATCTTTATTCAATCAATGAGTTTTCAAATATTACAGGAAGACTTCCTCAATTTTTCATATAGCATACAGTCTAGCAGTAGAAACATATCACCTTTTTGGGCTTAATCCTCACTGACATTTTATCTATCACTTTCTTCAGTTTAGACAATCAACAAATAATAAATCAAGTCCTGCTTTGTAGTTTGCCAGTTACCTTGGTGTAAATACTTCCATCATCCTTCAGGACCACACTGTTACATAGTATTTCTACCATACAGTACAACAGATGTAAATAATCTCAAGTGTGTAAACATTAGGATATGAAGAGTTTTGAGCACTTACCACCTTAAGTGTGATGATCATCTATTTAGTTTTAAATTTATATACTTGAATTTTTAATAGTGGCTATGTGTAACAATCAGTTCAAATTTAACAGTCTATCCTTGCGAGCCAGATCAAGCCACCTGCAGCACATCACTGCACTTAGTGACAGAACTGAAGACGCAAAAATAATATACTTACGTCACTACGACAGGCATTAGGCTCCTTGCTGTCACCACAGACCAGATCACTGTATTCAAGAACAGGTCATGATGGTCCTTCCTGAAAAGGAAGCCAGCAAATTTACAAGTCATGAATAATCATGCAAACTAAATGTGCATTTACAATCAGTTGCGTTTTTTGGTTAGAATTAACAAGAATTCCTATGAAGAGGAGGCCTTACAGGTGGCACAGAAAAATCAAAAACAAAACAGCAGAAGAAAAGAGTCAGAGAAAATGATTATGTAATGACAACAAAACCCAAAAGGAGTTTAAATCTACACAGAGGAAAAAAAGCCTCTGGAAATGGTTAACAGCCCAGGATAATGTTAAAAAAAAAAAAAAGTACAGTACCTCTTCACTGAGATGGTTATTAGTAATGTTTTAGACATCTAAGCTCAGAATCATGGCGTTCTTTGCCAGCTCTGCTTCATCCTCTGTATCCTTATACCTACATCAAACCCTGAATCTTCTCAATCATTTTTTTACACATACTGCCTTCAACAGAGACCGGGTCTTAAATATCCCCGTCAAAAACTTAGATTTTATTCTAAAGGCAAAGGAATCAACAAGTAGCGTTGAGATGGGAGCCACACTGGAACTGTGTTGAAAGAAGATGAGGAGAGTGCGAAACGTGGGATGACTAGTAAGACATTCATCCAGAGAAGTGGCCACGTGACACTAAAGAGAGCTGGTCCGGGAGAGCAGGGAGCAGGTGCCCTCCTCCGCTGGCGTGCTGCTCTTCAACAAGACCTACACCAAGGACAAGGCTCTTCTGTGCCCCGCTTTTCATCATTCCTTTCTTTCAGCACATTCTGTTTAGCTTGGGGCTTGTGCATAACATGGCTGCATATGAAGAGGATGCTGGGCCACAATGCAGACTGAAGGCTGGAAAATACGATTTATGTGAAAAGACCAGGAAATCCAAACCAGAGCACATCAAATAGTCACACGCTTCTTGATGAAACATATACAAACAACACAAACATTTTTTTTGAATCTGAGAAGCCTCAAGCAAAGAAAGAACTATATACCCAGTAGCATTTCACCTTTTCTGGATGGTACTATAAAAAAGTAGTAATAAACATATCCTGGTGGAACCCAGTAATAGGAACCCAGCAGAGGAAAGTAAACTCTGTCTGTGAATGTAGTTTAAAGTTCAATGGGGAGAAGGGTTAAGGGTACAGCTGAACTGGTAGAGTGCATGCTTAGCATGCACAAGGTCCTGGGTTCAATCCCCAGTATTTTCTCCAAGGGTAAATGAGTAAATAAACCTAATTACCCTCCCCAATCAAAAACCAAACAAAATAATAAGTAAACAAACCTAATTACCTCCCCCTTCCCAAAAAATAATTGAGAAAAAGATAAAATATTAAAATATAAAAAACAATTAAATTATCATTGTTTTGTATGTGGCACCATTTAAATGCACTAGGAATACCCTGACTAGATTCTTCTGGTACTGCAATTTCCCTTAGAGCATGTAATTCACTTCTTATGGAGCTGTCAAATCTTCAATCCTCTATTTGGAAACAAGGCTAAAAATAAAAGGTTCTGTCAAGCTGGATGTACACCACTCAGGATGCAAAGACACAAAAGATTCTCTATATTTAAAATAAAATTTGAATCAAGACTTCTAAACCTCAGCTGGACACCAGCTGATATTTTAACTCAGTCAGAATTTACAATATAATTATGCATTTAATCCTCAGAGTATGACACAATGTTATATCTATTTATTTTTCCAAGCTTAATTTTGTAGATTCCTGCTGTTTCTCAAAGCGAGGCACACAGATCACAAACATTTGTAGCTGCTCAAAACTGCATCAAGGTCACTGTATCCTATTCATTGTGTCTTTATACCATGGTCAGGAAGAATAATTAGGAAATTATTTTTCCTAATGCCCCACGGAATCCTCTTTCCAAATGTTTTCAGTACAAAAACAGATACCATGGTTCTTCAATTTCCACAACTACTCACTTAGCCCTCACCACATGGGGGGTAAAGTCGGCACACAGCCCTTCTTGGTACCTCTAAACTTGCAACAGTTCCCAGTGTCAAGAAAAGAGCACCGTATATGTACTATTAATAGGGAGGAATGCCAAGGAAATTATCTTGTAAAGAATTTCTATATAACCCTACCACAGCTGCAAAAACAATGTTACCACAATGTTTATGAAGGGAATTTTGATTTAAAAACAAGTGATTTACATGGTTGCCATAAACCTACAGCAACTACAAAACACACAAACATTAAGCAGGCACCCATCTAAAGAAAGAGTAAACCCCTTTAAGAGCAAACCTCAACTACCTACAGTACTTGAAGAGTAGTTTGCAGTAAAAAATAATCTCTAGCTGAGTTACTAAGATACTACTCTAAGCAGAGCCTTTGTAAAACTTTAACAGTTCTGGGTGGAAATTATCCCTAAACCTATCAGAGCACCCCCTTGGGTTTCTGGAGTCAATGCTTTACAAAATGTGTCCAGAGATTCATATACTCCTGCATCTGTGCCCAAATGAAGATCCCTAGGCTCCACCTCCGAATGCTGATTCCACAGGTCTGGAGTGGGATCAGGAATCCGCAAGCTTCCACTTAGTATTGCCTGACAACCACTGTCCCAGAGTGAAATAACCGCACAAGGACACACCACGCTCCCGGTGATGCGGGGCCTCCACTGTTAGCATCACTGCTGTACTGTGCTTGGAGCCATGACCTCAAAGGTGAGGGAAGTAGGTCCTCAGGCTACCTGCCTTCATGTTATGTTGACACCTGTGCTCAGATCTGGACTTCCTGCAGCCCTTCTGGTTTTCGCCTCCTTCCTCACCACCAGCCGTCCCTTCTCCCTAACCTGGGTGCCATCGTATACAAGACGCTCTTGCCCCCCTTCAAAACACGGTCTTAGAAGACCAGAACTGTGCGTACATCAAGCATCAGATGGCTCTAAGCGAGGCGGGGAAGCGTGGCTCAGAGTACCACTCATACTGCAGGCCGCAGTCTTTGTCGCGGCCACTGTGGTTGTACCGCCCTCGGGCTCCGCACAACGCCCGCCACTCACCTCTGGCCCCGGGTCGCCCATCTCCCCGACAGCCTGCCTGACAGCACAGGCGCCACCGCCGCCACCTGCCCGCCCAGCTCGCGGCGTGCTGCAGTGACCCGCCCCGGCGTGCGCGCCGAGCTGCAGACGCCCCGGGCGGAAAGGGCTGCAAACCGCTTCCCAAGGAGGAGCGACCCAGCCCACAGAACTCCGGCCTCCCTCACACAGTCCCGGCCTCCCGCCGCGCGGGCCGCTGGGGACTGTAGTTCAGGACCTCCCGCCTCTGCCGCGCGGGCCGCTGGGAATTGTAGTTCGGGCCGCACGAGAGCGCCCCGCCGGCTGAGGAGCGCGGGAGGATTGAGCTCCGGAGTGTGCGCCCCTCATGAAGGTTCGTATTCTGAGGTAGAATGTGGGTGACCTTCCTCAGTCTCTCTCCCTCTTTCTTTTTTATGGTCAAATAGTGATCCAGATAATAAGTGAATGGTGTTAACGTGCTTTCTAGTGGTTTGCTCTGATACTGCCTCCAGAGCTCGCATTGTCGGTTCCTTTCGGAAAAACCCCTTTCCTGCGACGCTTTTCTTCTAAATATTTCCACACAGATGATCGTGAATAGATGAAATGTATGAAAACAAGTGTTAATTGAGAACATCCTTGTAAAGCGTTTTCTCCCAGCCCTGTCAGCCTAGGGTCGCCTATGGCCTGACGGGGCCGTCGTCCCGCAGAATTGTTGCCCAAACACCGCGGCCTCTGGACCCAGAGACACGAATTCAGACCCAGAGACTGGGTTGGTGGGGGGAATCAGAAAAGAGCCGCTTTATCGCTCTACCAGGCAAAGGGAGTCACAGCAGGCTCATGCCTTAGGGGCTGTGAGTCTGTCTTGGGGTTGGTGTCCTGAGGATTGAGAGACAAGCAGGGCGGAACAAAAAGGGACCACGAACGGGGTTTCGGGGTGCTGTATTCTTCGCAGTCTTGATGCATCTGCCTGGCCTCACAGAGAAACTCCGTAGGGTCTGTTCCTTCTTCTGAGGCTACCCGCCCCTGACCGCCTTCCTGGGGCACAGCTTCTGGGTTAAAGGATAAGCTATTCTGGGTAAAGAATGTACAGGGAGGGTGTTACTGAGTCCAGGCTGATAGACACCGCAAGAGAATAAATCAGGAGACGGGGTGTGTTGGGGCAAGGAATAGCGACTTTATTCATAAAGTCAGCAGGCCAAGAAGATGGCAGACTGATGTCCTGGAGAACCATCTTCCCAAAGCCAGAATTCAGGCTCCTTGTCTGCTAAAAAGGGGGAGCAGATCTGATTGGTTGTTGCAGACTTCTTTGTGTCTGAATCCTTTGTTCTTGCAGCCCTCTACGTGGGTCAGGTCATGGTGCCCCTGTAAAACCTCCAACAAAACAAATGTTATTTTCTACTCTGCAACTTGTTATCTTTATATGAATGAGAAAGTGTTATACCCTTAAAGGTCAGAGCTTTGAGGCTGGGCTGTCCTGTCTATTTCAGGCTCTAGGCAACATTCTTTTATAAAAGGTGCAGAGTTAGCAAGACTGAGCCTAGGAAACAGAGCACGGGGTTAAAGCCAAAGGAACAGACGTACTATGCAGTCAGATTTGTTCTTTTCTATTACAAGTGGAGGGTGTAATGCAAAGATGGGTGTTTGTCAGAGAAAAGAGAAAAGTAAGTTGCAAGAATTTTAAAGCAGGAAGAATCAGCAAACAGCTCTAGCCTCAGGGAAGGCATTTTGTGAGCTAGTTTCCCACTCTTCCAGAATCACCTTGAGGATTTGACCCTGGCCTTCAGTGAACAGTGGAACACCTCACAGGACAAGGGAGTAGAGTTATGAGATTTTAAGGAAGGGTGGGAGTAGGTGAAATTTAAGTGAAATCGTGTTCTGACAGGTTCAAAGGCAATGAGGGCTGTGTGTAAAGAGCTCAACATGACGTCTGTACAAGTGGGAAATTTTCAGGGAACTTTGGGAACTACAAAGTTAAGATAGATACTAAATGCTGTGTCCAGAAACCCCTGCGCCAGGTTTGAGATATGAGACTGGTTCTCTATGTCAAAGAGATCAGCAAAGAGAGGGATATTTCATTCTTACTGATACATTTTCGAAGAACCAAGAGTCTCCTACTCTGGTTTTAGAGAACAAAGTTTCTCGTTGAGTAAGTGAGAATTCAATAGTTATCAAAGTCGCTTTGACTTTGTGCAGTGTTTCTTTGGGAGAAATATTGTCCCTTGTTAATTTTTCAGCTGACTTCATCAATGTGTGTTACTTTAGCCCAGCGGATATTTCATTTCTCAGTCGGAGGCCTGTTTTTGCCCATCTAAATGAGAACATGACATGTGATTTCTTATATTTATAGCTAGTATTAGATGCAAAAAAAATTTTTTTTTGCATTTCCACAAAGTGCACTAAAACTACAGGTGCATTTGTACCAACTAAATTTGAGACTTGTAGAGGAATGCTGAGGAATTACTCAGAAGAGTGTCTTGAAATCTCCAGTTATGTTTGTGGATTTGTCTATTTATCAGCTTTTGCTTCATGTGTCTTCAAGCTCTGTTATTTGGCACTTAAATATCTAGAAATGTCTTCTTGATGAATTGACTCTTTTATCATTATGAATTAGCTTTCTGTACCCCTGGAAATGTTCTTTGCTCTGAAATCTACTTGAAATCTCATAAGCCCTAGGGCCCCCTAATTCAGTCTAAATAACTTCATTTGGTCCTTGGTTTCAGAGGGAATGCTTGTCCAGAGTAGTGAGTCATACTCCGCAGGAGGTGTGCACTGCATTTCACATGGGGTATTCTGGCTGAAAAAGGAGGGAGTTGGGGCCACCTCCTCTGGTCTCATAGGCAGGCAGGAATGGCAGGCTTAGTCAGCCAGTTTAATTTATGGGTTTTGCAGTAAGTTTGGGGAAAGTAGCAAAGGAGTTATGCTGTTTTGTTTTTCAGGAGGAGAAGGCTTCCAAGAGCAGTTCTTAAAAATAAAAATAAATCATTATTGCCTTCCCCTCCCCCACTTTTGCTTTCCAGGATCTAAAGTTTATCTCTTTAGATGCCAGGGTTGCTCTCCCTCCGTTTTCACCCAATCTGTGTGTCCCATTTCACTAACTGTATATATAGATGTATATATATA